AGCGGGAGCACGGGGGCTCCGTGCTCAAAGCGCCCTGGGGGGATGGCGGGACCTCCCCTGGAACAAACTGTCTGGTCCCATCCCCGCTTGTTCCATCTTGAGTTGATCCTAGTAAAAACCAGTTTATCACAAACACCTCCACATCCATAAGGACAATGATTTAAGTACAAAACGGCTTAAAATGAAATCTGCAGCTTTGTTTTTTGCCCCAGTAATTGGCTTTATCCCTTCTGTTACATAAAGCCTCTCACTGGTCCAAGCTGTACTCATTTCAGATTCGCTGGAGGTTTCTGGGGAAGGGGTATCTTGATTAAAGATCACTTGGGAATGTGGAGCTCAAGACTTCTAGACATTTAAAGACAAGTTCGTGTTTGCTCAAGGCCAACCCACAGTTCTACTCCTCTTCTGGCCACTGGCCACTGGCCACGTGGCCATTAACACGGTTGGAGCCATTGCTTGAAGTGCTGAAAACTCCTTTTGTGCTGTTAGAAGTGGCATCCTCCTCTTCGGAGCTGCTCTCTACATCACTGCGGTCATCTTTGGATACCTAAACGTTTCGGATGACATTTGGAAGCGGGGAAGGGAGGAGGGGAGATGGTAAATTCACAGGAAAGAGCAGTTAGAAGGTGGCGTCCACAGGATTAACCAGCCCCTATCAGCTACAGTCACCTTCTGTATTTGATTTGGAATCACTTCAAATTGGCGAACAGGAACTTGTAGCCACATACAGAGGCAAGACACAGAGGTTGGAAGAGGCAGTCTAGAAATACGGTTTCATTTCCAATACCCTCTGCACATGTTAGGTGAAAGCACTCCAGGTTTTGGCTCTTGCCAGAGCCACAGAGGGCCCTGTGGAGCCGGCCTCATTCCGGCCGGAGCGCAGACACTTTGCTGAGTGCCGCGGGAGGGCAGTGTCCGACACCGAGAGCCAAGCACGCGGCAACAGGCAGGCCATAAACCCAGCTCTGACTGCAAATGAGCACCCTGACTGCTGGCTCAGGGCCACAGCCATAAACTCGCTGCTGCTGAGAAGCCACCGCCTGAACGGACCCGCTTTTCATGCCCCGTGGCCAGCGCCTCCACGCCTGCAGCTGAGAGCCCTCCTTTACTGAGCACACGAGCACCTATTCTGTGGCGAGTGCATTTCCAAGCTGGGCTCGGGATTTAATTCTACTCCGCCTGCTTTGAGCTGGGATGATGGGTTTTGAACAGCATCAGACAGGAAGCTTTCAAACCGCAGGAAGAGCTGGCAGAAGGCCAGGCCAAGTTAATGATTTCCAGGATGGCTGACAAGCCCCTTGCCTGCACTGCCTTGTGTGTTGCCAAAACTTTGATATGTTTCGCCACTCCCCTCCCGCGCTGGAAGTGCAAAGGGTCACCATAAGGAAGCAGACATCCCTCCACATGTTTCCCATGTCTCAAAATTATTTGGGGAACAAGTGACCGTGCTGTTCCTGTACTCCTCACCAGAGCGCCTGCCTTTCTGCTGGCCTCTTTCATTGAGCAGAGTGTTAATGAGCACTGAAAAGACCCAAGTTTGGGGACTTTTAGCTGTGTGCCTGTAGTAGAAAGATATAAGGTCTCACAGCCAGCTGACAGCACAGGAGAACAAACTACAGGACCCTGCTTTAACCTTTGCAAAAATTAACTATATCAGCCAGGAAGACAAACATTTAAGAGAAGGCACAACCCACGTGAAGCCCCAAGACTGTAACTTTGCACTTAGCCTAAAAAAAGGCACAGATATATTTCAGTGTACAAACAGGAGCAGAGATTACACTTACATGCAAAGGATGAAATTGTCCAGCTCCAATCTGGCACAGAGAAAAGGAGTGAGAAAAGAATGAAGAATACAGAGCTTAGAGTCCTGTCTCTGGCTAGGTCACCTGGTCAGGAGAGAAGCAAGGAAAGGAAAAGATGTAGATCTCAAGGTAAAGAAACAGCCTCACAGGCAGAACTAAGACATTGCAGTAGCAGCTGGAGGGAACAGATGATAAGATCATGTGCATACTCCGAAACATGGCAATCACTGCCACACACAGCTCTGATAAGCAAAGCAAAATAAAGCAGAGCCTTAAGAGAAACTCAGATCCGAATACCATATGTCTGGCAAAAAATGGCAGTTTTGCTAGCAAAACAGCAGTAGCTCTGAAGGAGGCAGCTTCTCCTGCTGGATTAGCTGTGTGTCAGAGCAGCTGAGTAGCCCCTGGAACACACAGAATCCCCATCACAGCCAGCTGAGGTGGAGAAGGTGGAAGCTTAAACAACCATCCTTTATGATAGTTCTGAGAGACTTCTGCAGCTGAAGTTCTGAACACAGCGTGTAGCATCCACCACCACCCCTACTAACCACTCCTGAATGCAGTAAGAAATGACGTTCACCTGCACGACCGGGGCAGAGAGGGAACCATCCCTGCCTTGGGCTACACCTGGCAGGTGAGTCTGCAGAGCAACAAGCGTAAAAATAAAAATAATGCCCCCCCCCCTACAGAGCATTCCTGATTCACGGATCTCGGAGCCAGGACCATCCCTCATGGATGGCAGCTAGCCGGCTTTGCTGGCTGCCACGATTCCTTCACAGAGCTTGTAAAAGAGAGGACGCAGAAGAGGCACGAGCAATCTTACCTTTCCCCGCACAAGGGCCTTGTAGGCAATGCGAATGATGAGATAGGACCAAATAATATGCAAGATCTGCAAGGTTATCAAGAGGCCATTGAAGAGCCACCATGAAGGGTAAGGGCCGATGAGCTCCCAGCTTTCAAATAAGGTTGTATTCAAAATCCTAGAAGAGATCCAGAAACACATTAGAGAGCAGCTGCTCTTAACATGGCTCTAGCTCCACATTTGGATGACTGGCCAGATGCAGAGCAGTTTTGTATCTCTTTAAGCATCTGCTGCTTTTCTCCTGTCAGAGTGGTGATGCCTCTAGTCCCTCGCCAGGGTTAAGAGAGAGGCCAAGGCTAATTAGAAGCATTTGAACGGAGCAACAAGCAGAAGATGTTCTACAGTTTGGTTACATATACAGATCTGTTGCCAATTTGCTTCCCAACAGCACCAGTTTTTATAACAACTTTGCAGGAAGTGATGTCAAACCACACTGGTCATCAAAACAACCGTCAACAGATTCATACTCGGGCAAACTTCACCCATATATAAAGAGCAGGAAGGAATTTTGTTCCCAGGAGGCCTCTCTCATGATGCGCTAGTCCCTTCCCTCTGATTTTTATAGATTCCTCCTGCCAAGCTGGGGGAGTGGGAACTGCTCTGTGGACAAAGCATCGCGCATTCCTTCATTAATGCTTTGCTGCTGTTCTTGTCACAGCGATTTATTACTAGCACTTAAGTAATTTGATAAACACTTTAGACTTTATGAAGTAGAGAGGTGTGGAGAGACCTTTAAAGATGCCATTAATTTCACATAGCTTTTAACATTTCATAAGAAAAGAAAAATGAGCTTTCAAAGAAGAATCCACCTCCCCCACACAAGGTACAGCTGCAGGAACATCTAATTCGGAGTCAGTTTACAGTCGAATTACATACAAATTCCAGAAGTCTGCTGATGTTTCATACTACTAATTAGGGAAGGGAATATGCACAGAGTGCAGTAGGCTCTGCGATACCACAGAAAATGTGCTAGATTTCTCTATGAAGTTGAGGAATTACATTACAGCCAGTGGAAAACACATTAAAGATTTACAGGGTTGCTGAGTGCTAGAATGATGGCAGAGCATCATCCCACAACAGACACAGCAAGGGAAACACTGGCAACCGTCTCAGCTGACAGTGGAAGGCGGCCTATGGAGACATGAGTACCAACGTTATTTCTTACCCGAATTCCCTTGATGCATTTACTGGAATAAAAGTGAGAGCTTTAATTGCAATCCTGATACCAAAATGTAGATTAAGTGCCATTTCTCCCACATTTAAGGCACTCAGGTTGGGAATGCAGGCTGACCACTGCCCATGAAATAAATGTACAGAGCAAAACCCAAACTGAATAATCATCAGCTGGGACCAGATTTTCACTACATCTTCAGCAGAACAACTAGACAACACATCACCCCAAGGAAAACCTCACAAGCCTGTTGGGGTGAGAGGGAATCTCATTAGAGGATGATGAGCTCTAAGCCATTTACCCCAGCTTTTACCACCAAAAAACCCAAGACCTATTTCAGGCTCCAAACAATCAAGGCACAAGGATAGGACAAGAGCATTATAAGAGATCAGAAGAGGCAACGATGACTCAGACAGATGCTCAGAAATCGAGTTTACCTCAGGAGACCGTGCCTCATTTGTAAGTCTATTTCCAAAACTCCTTAAAAATCAGGAGCAGCAAACAGCTCGAGTCTTCCAGAAGAGACAGCAGCTGACTCAGCTCCTGCTAATAGGCACTGTCATCACTTCGTAGCCAGAGGAGAGGGGGCAGCTGCACCTGAAGATTCTAATTGTTTTTCACATTCCCTCAACCGCCTGTTGAGAGGCTTCTTCACACACCTAGTTCCAAAGCAGGTTTGCTCCAAACATTTACAGTGTCTGCGGCTTCGGGCTGCCTCAAGGGACAGGCTGGAGCACTTGCAGGACATCTTAATGCACCGGCTTTGCTCAAAGGAGTGGAAGAACAAACGAGACTCTACAGCTCACGGCGCTTACCAGAAAGGGAAGATGCCCAGTCGTGTCACAATGAACACAATGCCAAAGAGCATGAAGAAGGCATCACACAGACGTTGGTACTTGGCATAATTGGCGAGCTTTGCAGCCTGAAAGAGACAGGAAACATTAAAACATTCATTCCCTTTTGTGCACTCATGTAATTACCAGGCTGTAGAGCGCTGATACTCTCAAACTGTCACGTTTCTAAGGCGTTTGGAACATTTAAGGATTATTCTTAGTACTGAAGCAGTTACGAGGAAGAGCTGACAAGGCAGGATGAGCAGCGAGGTTTTATGGCACGTTTAATGCTGTTTATCCAAATGGGAAAGTCGGCTTGCTCCCTCGAGAGCACACGAGCACAAGGTACACAAAGATTAGAGAGGAAACAAGCAGCAGCTCACCTCTAAAAGGAAATCTGATGCATCGTGCAGGCACAGCACCAGAGTCCCAACCCGCACCATATTATTCATGTAAGAGAATGTGATGAGTCCAATTGTAGCCAAATGATGGAGAAACATGATCAGGAAGTCCTGGAAGCAGAAAAATGAATGAAGAACCTTTGGCTGGCAAATACAATGGTTTGAAACAAAGCCCCAGAACTGACTAACTGGGGTCACAGGACTACTTTAGTTCAAACTCTGACTCCACTTTTATATAAAGAGCTCTCACACAGCAACACCCATCATCACTAGATGTTCCAGAAAAGTCTCAGTCCTAACGTTTGCGCTCCTGTAAAGTAAGAGCTCTCCAAACCCAGGCACAGCACAAGTCTCCCTGGCACATATGTGCATGGCAGAGGTACGTGTGACTGCAAACCCCACTGAAAAGACTGACTGGACAAGGTAGGCTCCTTATTTTTGGCTCCTTTTGGAACTTGGCACAAATTTTAAGTACGCTGCTGTTACTGTTGTCAGTTTGCAAAAGCCTGCCAGAGCAGAGCAGGCAAAGAGCTCGAGATAAGCTACTACATTTAAAAAAAAAAAGGGGGTACTATGCACAAAAATTCAGGGCTTCTTTTACAGTTGTGCTGCTGGATGCAACACTTGCACTCCCTGTGGGCGCCTTGCCATGTTTGCAGTGGGGAGTGTAGTCCACTTTGTTAAAAGTCAGAGTGCAAAATTAAATGTTTTATATACAAATATTGGTATATACAGCCAAAAAGTGGCATCAGAGCTGCTGTTAGTCACTTCTTTCCTGCAGCTCCGAGCTCTCCTGTGGCGCCAGCCTCACCTGCTAATATTTCAAGATTGAATAATTCCCAGGCAAACTTTTCTTTTTGAGCAGTTGGTGCAAAAACTGGGATAATTTACTACATGGCCATTTGTATGACAGAAGTAATAAGCCATGATTTACTGTGAACCGTTTTCAACAGTAATAATATGTCAAATCCTAGAATGCAGCACAATGGAATTAGATTCCAGCAGTCATTACCAGTCCTCATTCTGCTGCACACATGGATGAAGAATTACTTTCCAAAAAAACACTTATTATTGCTTTAGTGTTTGCCATTTGCTTACCCTGCTCAGCAAGGTAATGCTCAGAGTGTCTTATTTTCATGTTTTCTTGCAAGCCTTCAATCTATTTTTATCAACTGTTTATTGGGAGGTACTGAGTGATTCCTTCTTTCCTGGGAAGGTGAAAAGGACTCTCAAGGCCAGCTTCCATGCCAGGCCTGCCCTACCCTTTCCCCCAGGACTGGGGGGGGACTGCAGGAGGAGTCAGGCTGCTAAAGGATGCGAGTGAGGAGGAAGGTGTAGATATTACTGCGCTTCAGCTTCACTGGCCACACACACTGACATTTTCTGTTAGCCCCATCCATTCAGCAAAGTGGTTAGTGCAATTGTGGTTAATCTCACCTTCCGCTTAATGTCTGTAAACTGAGAAAACATGAGAGACCAATAGAAGGCCAGCTCCAAGATATAGTAATAATAAAGCCTGGATGTTAGAGGCTGAAAAACAAAGACAGCACAGTTAAAAGACAAAAATACTTCAAAATTTACATTAAAACTCATTTTTCCCCTTCCTTCCCACCCCACTCTGTTCTTCCAGAATGCTGAGGCATAAGTTAAAAGGTCCAGAATTAAGGTTTAGTAAAAACAAGCTTAAGCAACAGAAGTCTTACTATGCACTTAGCCACACAGACTTGTGTGGCTGAATTTTATTCTAAAGGGGCAAGATTCCCTTCTCCCTGCGTACAATTCATACTGCAGCCTCTTAGGTAGGAAAACTAGACATTAAAACAGACTCTTTGGCCTCTATACAACTGTACTTGCTGCTCAAAGGCAAAAAAAGAAGATTGTAGCTAAGTTACTAGTAAATGTTACTACCATGATTTATGTGTAAAATACACATTTGATAATCTCAGCCACAATTAAATGTACAATGAATGTGAACTGAGTCAGTTCCATCTGAGGAAATAGTGCTGGTGAGAGCCCTAACCAGGCCTAGGGACAAAGAGCAAAGTGTCATCTCTGTGCCTTCCAAATAACCTTCCCTAGCTGCAAAGCTGACCTGGGCAGCAGCCTCTCCACAGAAAACAAGCAGCACTCAGGTCTACTGAGTTTCAATTAAAAAAGGTAAAAACTGGAAGAAGGACTGCAATCTAGCACAAGAGAACTGAATCTGGTGTTTATCTCCTACCTGAAAAGGGTAGTTGTACCAGCACTGTCGTGTGTCCCAAAACCAGGGTGCCTAAAAGGGACAGGAGAACAAAAAGTTACTATTCTGGTAGATTTTTCTCTGCTCTATCACCTACAGTACTGTTCCACAGAAACTTTCTCTCAGTTCTACCATCCATGCTAAATTTACTCTAAGACAGCATAGGGATTTAAAATATTCTTTCTGCAGACAAAAGTAAGCTGTAATACACATGGTAATTTCAAGAATTTGGTCTCAAGTAAGAAAGCATAAGGATGACTCCTGAAGATCACTAAAGCATAAGGATCACCACTAAACCTTTGTTGTTTTAAGTTAGGTGCAGAAGGGAAGACAGAGGTGATCAAACCTCCTAAATTTCAGCAAGATGGATGCAGCCCGCTACCAGGCCACACAGAACAGCAGTAGAGGCAGGAGGTGGGAGGGAACAAATAACTCACCGACCAGAGGAACTTGATTCCATATAAAAATATACTTAAATAAAATGTAAATCTCCACCTGGAAATAGAAATAAAATTAAACATATTAAAAAGAAGTTGTAACAAATGCTAACCAGAAAATAAAACTGGAACAACCATTAAAACAATTATATCTAACACCTGAAAAGGGTTAATCCAAATGGTAATTCTCCATTTGTAACCTTTTTCTATAAGAACAAGCCTATTTAAGAATTTTCACACCACACTAGTTCACATCAACAGCCATGTTTGAAATAAAGTTCAGAGTGAACGTGCATCACTCATATCTTGATACTGTATATTAAAGCACAACAAGAAAAGCCATAGTTATCCAGAAGGTATCCTAATATATGTATTCGTCCCTCTTACCTTGTGGCTTTAAGTAGATAAAATCATACTGGGGGGGAAGAATTAATATGAAGAAGATTACTGGAAAGGAAAGAAACCAGCACAGAAGAAATAACAAGTCAGGAAAAAATCACTTGGATGCTACTATGTTAACAGAGGCAACTATGAGTACTGAGAAAGAAATAAAGAACAAAAGAATGAACTGAAATGAAAAGAACAGGAATCCAAGAAGTGCCTGTGCAAAAGTGCAGGCATCACTGCATAAGTCCTAAGGACAGTCTGAGAAACACTGATCTACAACGTCACTGTGCAAACAGCAGACAAATACAATTACTGCAGCTGTGCGTGTGCCCCTGTCCCGCTCCCAGCCCCACAGCGGCGTCACCGGCCGCATCGCGTGGGCGCCACTGAGAGCTGCTCGTCGCTGATGGCCACGCAGCACCGAGTCCTGCGCAGGTGCTCTGCGTGTCACATGTGCAAACACAATATATTAAAACACTGAATTCTAAAGAGCCCTCCTATTTTCCTCTGTTTTTCTATATAAGAACTTCCACCAGCCAACCCGAACACACTAGTTTAAATCAACAGCTGACCACAATTTCACTTGGAAAAATAAACATTTAACTGGAGCTCTAAGATGAAGCCAGATCTTGGCTTCTATACAAACATACATGCTCTCACAAAATTTAGTGAGGGTGGTGGGTTTGTCCTGGTTCCTCCGATGCCGAAACCAGCGCTGGATCTTTCGAACATCCCAGTCTAGCTGCTTTGACAGGCCTTCTAACCTTTTTCCATCTGGAGACTGAAGGAAAATAAGACAAAGTGTCACTTCTCCTACTTCTCAGCCTGCTTTAGTCTGAGAGTCTTCTCCTTTGTACTGAAATCAATAGAAGTGATGCACAATTAATGAAAAACGATCATAGAAGGAAAGCATTACGTACACATTATTACATTTCACCAGCACAAACCTATTACTACAGGTACTCATGTTTAATCTTCACTTACGACTAATTACTCAATTATTTGGAATGCTTTTGGTTTAACATTTCCTCATCTATTTTGCCATTTGACAGTGCATTATTACAGAAAATGCATTTGTTCTGTTTATTAACTTGGGGGAAGGAGTTTTTAAAATGTCCTGACCTACCTGTTAAAACTTGCAAAGCAACCCAAATAGCTCAGAATTCAAGATCAAAGCTGCACGTGTTTAAGGGTTGCTACTCCCTGTGAAGTTTCTTTAAATTAAAATCTTGGGACTTAACATGCAAAATATTTGCATATTCCAAAAAGGCATCATACAGATGGTGAAGTTTCCGTTATTTTTAAACTTTAAAAAAATCTTCTAACTTATTTATAGAGCTCCAGTTTCAGAACAGCAATGTAATCTTTCTTCTGTATCAGTGCCACCCTACATCCTACTTCTCCAAATACAAACCAGCAGCAGACACAAGCACAGTGGTACAGTTAAATGCAGCCCTGTTTTTATGAGCTAGTTACATTTTGCACAGCATGCTTCCTCGTGGCTTTCCTAAACACGAGTTTCAAGGACATCCCCTGCATAAAAGTCCTCTGCAGTAATCGTAAGGGCCTTTCAGTTCCAAATATCTCAAAATGTTATGCTCCCAAGAGGGAAGTTTCACTAAGGTTTTTATATAATTTCTCTTCCATTCACCGAGCGCTTTATCTGCTTCACTCAGAATGAAGTTCAGCATCACCCGATCAAAACATAATACCTTCCATTTCATTATCTTTAATGAAAATCTATCGTACTGTTAGTGTTGATGTAACTGCCAACATTCAATAGAGGACAGACGGTGCAGCACTGTCATTACACAGTGAAGGACTCCTGTCAACTTATGCTGAGCAGAAAATGGCCATAAGAACCAATCACAAGAAACTGCTATTGTCAGAGTTGAATGTCCTACCCTTTAGCAGGGCACACTTCCACTGACTGGATGGCTTTCCTTCTGTAACTGGCTACCAGTGGCAGCTGGTATCCTGAAACTGTACACAGCAAAAATGAGGGAAAGGCATTCGCATAACTAGCCAGTAAGACCAGCAAAGTAACACCTTTCCATAGAAAACAAAAAGCACCAGGAATTGTTTTGTAAAGCAAAAACTACTGCCTGTCACAGGAGTTACAACCCGGACAGAAAGGCAGATAGCTAAAGGAAAAAAAGACTCATGTCTTTCTAGAAAGAGAACATTTTTCGTTCAAAAAAATCCTTCTGTTTGTAAAAGCGCAAGTCAGGCATGAAGAGAATTTTCTTTGCTACGAGAAGGAAGACATGCCAGAGGCACAGTAAAAACAGAAGGAGCATGTTCCCTGTACATGCACACAGTAAAACCCAATTCTCTGGGGCAAGAGAAGTGCAAAATAACAACAAAACACTCTTACTTACAAGCTTTCACTTCTAGCAGAATTTGAAGCGTGACTCACCTTAGTGATGGATGTAAACACTTTCTCTAAAATTGCATTGGGCTGGGCTCTGTGAGGTCCACTGTCTTGAATGCCAAGGTTTATGGCACATGGCTTGGCAATAAACCTGAAAGAATTCCAAAGAAAGGACCAGATAAAAAAAAAGATATATATTTCCCTCCTTTTTGCCTAAATAACAATGACTTGTTCTTGTCACAAACACCAAGCCTGTCCAAGAAGCTTTTGAAGGTCTCCATCATCCTGCTCAAAGAAAGCTCTACAGGGCCACGAAAGGGGCTAGGCTTCACAGGCGAGGTAAGATCCTTTATTAGGCCAAGTGGTAATTATAAACAGCACACACAGCTCATGCATCTCCTAAACAGAAGGATTCAGCTGTACGGCCCTTGGTTGCAGGAGCAGGATGCCTTCCCCAGGGGATTTACAGCGTTCCAAGGAAGTGACAGGTCACCGAGGAGAGCCCGCCATGGCCACAGCCACTGCAGCCCTGCAAACAAGGTGCCCTATTTCCAGAGGCTTCTTGATGTCACACAGCTGCAAAAAAGGAAAGACGCTCAAGTAACAGTTCCTGAAGGACACAGACATCCTTTTCTTCTTTTTTTTTTTCCCGTTGGAAAATGAAACTAAGTGGCTTATTTGCTTAGGGGGAGTGGGAAAGATGCAGGAAGTCACTCAGCCTAAAAGCCCTAGGATCTCCTTCATCCCCCTGAGACATGGATTCTGAAAGCTGATCTAACTCTTCGTGAATTTTGGAGCACAGACACTTTCTCATTTAAGAGACATTAACAACAAGACCATTTTTGCAACTAAAATGAAGGTATAGTATTCAAAATTAGGGTTTGTAGTATCTTTGCACTAAACTGGCCAGGAGATTAAAATAAACAGTGAATAAAAAAAAAATGTGTTCCTGGAAGATGTAAATTGTAGTCCTTGCCCTCTAAGGAGGGGAAACTAAGAGCAGCAAAATTAAAAAGGAGGAGAAAAAAAAAACAGATTGATAAAAAGATTAATTTGGGAGCAAAGAACCTGTTAGAGAAGTAACAGACCCCGTGACTCTATAGCCCTCAGTCTGACTGTCCTTCAGTTTTTTTCACAGGCACTGCTCACTTCCACAGCCCTGGGAGGAGGGGGGGGATTAAAAAAAAAAAAAAAAAAAAAAGAAAAAGGAAAGCATGATTTCCTTTTAATTCAGCTCTTCCTCGCTCAAAAGGCTTAGTGCTTCCTCTGTGACCCAGACCACCAGCCAGGAATTGTGCTAAGATATTAAAAAATACTTGGCTGGAGCCTCATAAAAGTCTACTTTATAATCTTCTTTCTTACAGGATACACCACTGCAACAATAACCAAGAAGTATGCACATGCAATCACAGGATGTCAAATATTTTTATTTCAATTTGTGGGTCACACTGCTTGGAGTCTTATCAGAAAAATAATCCAGAGCTGGCCGAAAGATTGGGTCATTTTCTTCACATAAGAAAGAACGCCTGAAAAATCTACAGATACACCCATTTAATTAATTTCTTATTCACCCATTTAATTAATTTCTTATTCAATAGATCCTTTATTTCTTTTAAGAACAGGCATAAACAAGGCTGAATTATTAAGAAACTCATATTGGTCTATAGAAAATTGTAGAATTCAAAGCTTGATGCAGCAAGAAGATTGTTCAGAGGAATCATAAGTGACCAAGAAAGAAAAGAATGAGCAAGAGTGAGCCCCAGGTTATAGACACACAGCAGTCCTCGAGTTGCTCAATCACGCATGCAGGCGACCAAAGAGCAAAACAATAAAACCCCACAAACATTTCTAGGTGCACAGCAGCAGGCAAACACCAACGCATGCAAATAAATAAAGCCACAACGGTGGTGGTTGTCCCAGCCATAAAATGGGAAGGAAAAAAGATGGCAATGATGGATTTCATTACTTTAAGGAAGTATAACCAAGGACTGCAACGCAGTCTCTCCTGCTCTAGCAATGGCTTCATGCAACGGGACTGCAAGTACGTGTTGCGCCAGGGCTTCCTGCTCAGCTGCGAACGGGCTCCTGCTACAGCCGCTGGGCCAGGCATCCCGTGGAGGAAAAGATCTGCCTAAGCACCAGAGTTAAGCCCCGAAAAAGGTTGCCCAGAGGCTGCAGAATTTCTGTCCTTGGAGACATTCAGAACAACAGAACAAGACGGTGAGCAACTCGACCGAACCAAAGAGTTCGCCCTGCTTGGAGAAGGTGGGTGGACGTGACCTGCAGAGGTCCCCTGCAACCTAAATTATTTTATGACTCCATAAAATCTTTCAACTGCCCCAATTATTCCCAAGGTCAAGTTTCTGCCGCACCCTTCCAGTGAGGAATTATCTGCACTTACACACTTATATTGTTATTTTCTGAACAAGGATCTGCTCGTTGGCTGAACTTATACCTATTAAACTACCTTTCTCATGCTGGTTACCAAGATTGACTGATTTTGTGACTGACACCGCTTTTCACGTGCACTACAGCAAGCATCTGCTTCACAAACCTAACTTCAAAGTCCTTCTTAATGGAACATTCAGGCTTGTCTAGTAACTTCCTATTAGAGCTCTGAAAAGGAAGAGCAGCCCCCTAAATAGCAAGATTTATAAAGCCTGCACATCCTGGGGCTGGCTGCACTCAAAGACAGAGCCCATCTCTTCACAACCTTTTCACTTTCACCATATTAAGAACAGACCAGCTCATTCCACAACTGGCACCGACTTCCCAGGCAGGCCTGATGAACTAACATCCAGAACTGCATTTCTGCCAGAGCCAACAAAAGCTGCAGATCATCGCTCTGACCCAGGGAGTAACAAGAGCATCTATTAGTGAAGAGGCATTCCAGTGCAATCACAAGCATGTCATATGAGTAACAGGCTCCAGGTTTTCCCAGATACCTGCGAATTTCTGGGGGCAATATGTGTAGGGGGGAAATAGCAGCCAAGATAGCTGAGAAGAGATGAAAACGGACACAGCTGGAGGCAGAAGCCCATCATCTTATCTGCACAAAAATCCCCTCCCACAACTGTGCGTCACGCCCTTATCTTCACATATGCTCACACGCTATTCCTCACACACAATCAGTGCAAGGAAGATTTTACCGACACCTTGACGCACAGGCTAATTTAAAATAGCATCTGTTAAGACAAATGCGCACCAATTTAACAAGTTACTCAACAGGGGGGAAAATGCACTTCCACACACTGAAGACTGCAAAAAGAGAGCAGGAAAGGGAGAAACTGAGAAAGAAAAGCTAAAACAAAAGAGCTACAATACTATATAATTCAAGCTCTGAGTCATCAAGCCCTACTGCCAATTGTGTGTCAAGGAAGCAATTTGACTTCATCATCCCCAAGGCTTGTACCAGGGCATGAGCACAATGGGATTTTATTAGACAAATATGATGTTTTACGACATGTTCAAAAGGGCAGAAGGAAAGAAGAAAGCATTTCTTATAAGCAGTATGGGCTTTAAAGCACACTAGAATTTACCCTAGGTCGTGTTCTTGCAATCTGCTTTTACTTCAGGGTACAACCACCCTATAGCAGAGACACAGAGGAAACAACCCTCTCAGCAACCAGGCCTCGGTCTTGAGGTTTCACTTTGCAGGAGGAAGACTTAACTTTCCATTTGACTCCTCTCTAAGTTAATAGTAGAAAGAATTTCCCAAGCCAGGGAACGCAGTGTGGACATTATGAGGACAAAATAAGCATTACCAGGAGGACTGTCTCATCAAGGTGCACTGCTCTGCTACCAATGTCTCACGCTCTACAGAAAAGAGACACTCATGCACTTCTTCCCAATAACATACGCAGACACATGAGGTCTGGGGGAAGTGAGGATCTTCCATCCTGATCCCTGCAACATCCCTCTAAGGGGGAATATCCCACCTCACAACTTCCTTCCCTGGTCTGCTAGGGAGCACGGACATTTGGTCCAGACCAGCTCCAGGCTAGGATGACATTTTGGCACTGCCATGTATCTCTCTGTTCCTCAGTCCTCTCCATTGGTTTGAGCTGAGAATAATTTTATTAAGTGCTTTTTTTTTTTTTTTTTAAGGGCAGGCTTTCAAATTTCTGTCCTACTCTGCTAACCTGCTTCATGTTTTGCTCCACAGCACTCCTGTCTTTTTACTCGGCCCTGCTCTCCTCTTGTCTAAGATCTGAAAGCTCATGAAAAAAAGTGCTACTTACAGAAAACCTGCAAAATAAAACTGACTGGATTGCCGCTCGGTTCATTCCTACAGGTCCTTTCACACTTTGAAATATTTTGGCCCTTTTTAAGATCAGATAAGCCTTTAATGAACCAGTTAAACGGGAACCCAAGGTGTTTTCAGCATGCTTCACCTAACGGTCTTCCTAAATAAGCAGCTTTGTTAATTAGAGCCGCGCCACGGCCCACGGCGCGTGATTCCCATCGCCAAGAGGATGCACCGCAGCCGCAAGCGAGGGATCGCGGCACACGGTTACAGTGCCTGGGTAAACCACATATTTAATATCTTCGCCCGCACGTGCTTCAGTCCTGCTCGAGACGCTGGGCACTGAAAGGGTTCAGCAACAGCCAGGGCGCGGGGCCAGGCCTGCACCTCAGCCGGGAGGCAGCAGGGAAGCAGCGCGAGGCCCCGCAGCAAGGGCCGGAGAACGGAGCGCCCTGGGCTTCACAGCAGCTCCTGATGGGATTTTCAGGATTAAACCACGTTTCTTTACCACACCGATTTTCTTTACTACACGGATTTTCTTTACCACACGGATTTTTATAATGATGGCACCAACACTAAAAATCTGCCGGGGAAGCGTCTGGCGGTGAGGCCTTGGGCCGCCCGACGGCCCCGCGCCGCTTCCCGCC